AGTTCTGTATTTGCGGAATTCCTGAAGAGGAACGGAATTCGTGGTGTGAGGATCCCCCCATATTACCCGGCATCTAATGGGGCTGCGGAGAGAGCCGTTCTAAGAATCAAGAACAAACTTAAGAAAGCTTCTTCGGGAGATTTTCAGATGAAGATTTCACGAGCCCTTCTGCAGTACCGCACAACACCTCACAAGATCACTGGGCTAACACGTGCGGAGGTCTTCATAGGACGGAAACATAAAACTGCAATGGACTTGCTGTATCCTGATTTCCGTTCTAAGGCTAAAACAGAAGCAACGTTGTGATCATGGAGCTAGACGACAGCCACTGCTGCAACCGGGTGGCAGCGTTTGGGCAAAGAACTTTCGACAAGGGCGTGACTGGATCTCTGCGCCCGTAGTGCACCCAGCAAGCGCATCATCATCACAGGTTGTTCTGGATGACGGCACATGTGGGCATCGCAACGGTGACCACCTGCGACAGAGAGTTTGTCCCGCTTCGGAACAAGGGACATCATTGCCTTTATTGGACATTACATTACCCGGATCTTCTGCGCCGACATCCCCGAGAAACCCAACAGCGTCGTCTGTACCTCCGGTGCCACCGCCTGTACCTGCGGTGCCAGCATCCCCGCAACGTTCCGCACCCGAGCTTCAAGCTCCATTGGCCAGCCCTAGCCAAAAGGAAGCTTCCCTTATTGGATCGACCAGTTCTGACGTCGAAGCGAGCTCAAAAGTGAAAAGATCCACGAGAGTCAAGAAGCCGGTGTCGCGCTATGAGCCATAGCGAACCAGGGGTGAAGGTGTGTGATGTATCGAGGTGCGGAGAACGGTGTAAATAAAGATGACGACGACGGCGCTCGGGCAATCCGAGCCGAGGCTGATAGCCAGCCATACATCACTTCGCGTTCGGTCTCTTAATTATGATATTTCTTGGAAATATTATGGACAATCTACGGACAATCCCTGTTCCGTAGATTGTCCCGGCGACAAATATTTTCGAAGGTTGAACAATGTATTTAAAATGCTGTGTACAAGATAGCGAGAAATGTAATTAAAATAGTGTAGTAAATTCTCTAGACGAAATGTATTCCAAGATACCCAAATACTACCAAAAGTATCTGAGATGCGGAGTACAAGGTAGTGAGAAATGTAATTAAAATAGTGTAGTAAATTCTCTAGACGAAATGTATTTGCAGGATACCCAAATACTACCAAAACTATTTAAAATCCAGTACCTTGGGTAGAGTATTTAAGTTAGGCACAAGTCTGAGTCAGCCTTATCAAGGCTGTGCGCGCGTGGCCGGGTCGGGTCGTCCCCGCCGCCGCGCTGGACAGTCTGCCACCCGCGTCCCGCTGTCGGGCAACTCGGCTGAGGAGCCGCCAGGGTGTACCCACGCTCTTTAAAGGGTAACTCCGTCGATTTTTTATAGTCTTCGATTTGGCTGGAAATGGGCAGGCCACATCAGTGTCCATTTCTCAACTTTTACTAACTCCTCGAAAACACAATGTTGTTACCTGTTATTTGGGTTACTAGTTCAGAAGTGTCTATTAGTGTGTCGAACCAATTATGAGGCAAATCAGTGAATGAAAAAAATATTCTCCAGAGTCGGGCAGGATGGAAGGACGTCTTGATGACCACTGCTGAACCCCAGAATCAAGCGGTGGCAAGCGACGTCCAGTGGTCGCTTCCAAAAGTTTGACCATGGGGTGTCCGATCCACTCGCAGCAACTGCACATTCAAGAAAGCCATTAATTGCAACAAGCGATAGAATACCCTTACAAAAAACTGTGGTGCTCTTCTGTTGAAAGATTGTAGAAAAAAATCATCAGAGGGTATAAAATGTCAGTTGCTTTTCATCTTACTCTAGGTTTTCTGTTGACTTCCTTTTAAATATTGGTCCACTTTGTAATAAGAAAGTCAACAGACTTTCTGTCGCCTCCAAGATGCTTTTTTTTCTGCAGTTTTTCAGTTAAAAAGCTACAGCCGTTTAAAATGAAAAAAAGAAGAATTCTTTACAGCTTAACTATTTATTCAACAAAATTTGGAAGCTTACTATGGCTTTCCACTCTCATCCAAATTGGCTGCAGCAAAATAACATAAAATAACGTGATTTTATTTTTACATTTTGTTAGTAAATTATGTCCCTGTGGTATTTGAAGTTACTACTACATACATCCCACAACTACACATTAGAAACGTACACAAACAGAAACACCATGAAGAACTGAACACCTGAATCACATTCCCGTTGACTGCTCCAGAGCCTTATATAGCCTACAGATTGAAAATAATCATTTCGCCAATGACCACCTCAGCACTTCGTGGATGATATCTCTTACTAAAACGCATTGGTACAACTAATGATAATTCGGCGCAGTCGCTAAAACAACATCCACAAAAACGGCTTTTAGAAGGAAGATCGCTTTTATGCATAGCACCAGTCAGTAGAAAGCGAGTCGAGGCAGTTTCTCAACTTTCAAACAGTTATTTTGCTTTTATTTATAAGTTGACTATTTAGTATGGTCATCAAAGTCACTATATTTACTTACAAAGTCAGAACGGCAGGGCATGCCTTTCGAACGCCCCGCCTCCAGCACGCGCCGCATGCCCTCCGTCGTGATTTCACTGCACGCGCTCTCGAGGTGCACGAACGTCGAAGCGTTGTCGAGGGTAGTAGGCTCGCGCTGGAGGTGGGACAACTGAAGCTGCTCCCCCTTCTCACCTTGTCAGAGACTATTGAGGGACTTTGTGACTTTTGACGTCTAATCGAGGTGTACAATGTTCAAAAAAAAGTCAGCAGAAAGTCTGTAGCTTTTCTATTGACACTGGCTACAGAGACGCAACTGAACATTTTCAACACGAAATAAATATAACGTCTGCAGTCATTCTGATGACAAAAGTCAACAAACTTTCTGGTGAACATTTCAACAGAAAGTCACAGTCAAAAGAAAGCAATCAGGGTCAACAAGAAGTCAACACGTTTTCAATAAGAAGTCATAAATCATTTTTTATGGGTAGCTACGGCAGTAGTGCTTATTCGCGCGCGGCAGGGCAACCTTGCAGGACACCCGATTTCTTTTCCATGATGTATAAAATGTCTTTCTGGAGACGTGCCACGAGCCCGTCGCCATTACAGTAACCGAGTATCACGGTTCTTCATCGGGATGGGTAGAAATGTAAGATATTGAAAAAAAAAATGCTTCATAGGACCTAGACAAAAAACTACGTCGTTTCAAGGAATAGAAGTAGACTCTCGTAGAGTTACTAATTTTATTAATTCTTATTGTATATTACATCCATTCCTTTTACAGGAATACAATAATATTTGCTGTTGATCAGCTGATATCAACCTATAATAATAATAATATTTATCGGTCCACAAACTGTCCTAAGCCTGATAAGTGGTACACATCGCGACACTGTTAGCGCGAACACGACATCGGCGCAATTTCACATTTCACTTCAAAATACTATTAGCAAGCACGACATTTTGTTGCTTAACTTATATAACTAAATGAGCTCTTTCCGTAGAAATAATAACTTGAATGACATCCCTTGGTTTCAAAGAGAAAAATTGGAAAAACCGGCGATCGCTTTTCGCGCTAACAGTGTCGCGCTCTGTACACAGTCATACGAATAGAAAACAAAACGTACAAAGAAGCAAACAGGCGAATTCATAATTATGCACACACTAGGAGCATTATTGCTCGTCGAAGGATGTTCATATCACTAAATATATTTGTAATTGGCCGCGCCTGGAACAGAACCAATAATTAAAAAAAAAAGTCAGTGAGTGAGTGACTGGACAAAGAAGCATGAATGCACACAGTGCTTAAAAACAGTGGTAAGTCAACAGCTTTGCTGACAACCTTATGTAAAAACAATGAACAACGTAAACGACGTCGATTAAACACAAAGAGCACAATCTCAGTTTCTGAAGTTTTCTGTCATAGTTGTAGTAGCACTTGCCCGCAAAATACCTGTCGTAGATAATTTGTATGGCCCGTCTTTCAACACGTTCAATGGAGGACGACGCAGTATGGTGAACAGGATTCCAAGCGATACAGGGAAATACAAGTTTAGTGCGCACCACGCTTAGCGGGCGCACCAAGCAACGTTTTACTCAGAAGATGTGAGAGTATGGCGTGTTTTCATGGACGTAATTTTGTCCAGCATTTTGTTGTTATAAGCTGTATGGAGTGTAACAAAAGCGGATATTCTAAGGATTCACAGGACACCCTCAAATGCCTAGTGCACAGAAGCTTCTATGTTTCATCATGCTGACATCGGAAGTGTGTGGAGAAATAAAGAATATTTAAGCAACGAAGCTAGCAGCGGAATGGCGGGTTCACGTCGTCACATGAAAACACCCCCGATTACAATATCCGCACTTCATTCACCGGTTTCCTCGTGGGCGCCGCCATGTTTCTGCCTAAAGCAGGGCGGGCAAAACTGGCGATCTTTACGACTTGAAAATGCGACTTTTTTGTGTTTTAGATAGGGTGTCAGTAATGCCCAAGCAATATTGTTTTGTTCTGTCGCGGATCGTTTTTAACACTTCTATGGGACGAACATTCGCTTCCCGAGATGTCCAATAACCTCAGATAACTAGCGACAATGGTAGAAGGCTGAGGTGTCCCTCCTAACAAGCGTATACTTTATTCAGTGGCTCTAGCCGAAAGGGTGCGAGGTGGGAATGACGCATAGTCTCGGGGAGAGCAAGATAGCTTCCGCGCTGCTCGCGAGACATCCAAAATAGGAGAAAGCGAGTTAGCCATATCAGGGCGTCAGCACTATGCTTGCGACATCAGGTGACTGCCCTTTGCCTCTGAAGTCCCATAGTCGCGACTGAATCAACGTGCCTTGAAGCCGAGGGATATTTTTACTTGATGTCTACGTTATCAATTGCACTGTGACGACACGTTGCCCGAGTTACAATCGAAGCTCCGGAGCTTTTGTTTAGTGTTTTTTTATGCCGGCAGATCGGAGGCAAGTTTGCGCATGAAGGAGTCGCAGTCGCTTCTGTGCTGAGTTTTTGTTGACAAGTGAAGTTGGCTACAAGAAATCGCGTGCTTCGGTTCGTGCTTTATTTCAAGACCGGCTCTGTACTTTAAGAGAAGGCAAAGGTAAGGGTCATTGGCATATTCTTTGCCTTCTTTCCGAGAGCTGACAAGCTTTTGAGGTTTCCAATGAGATAGGCCGATAAGAGGTTGGAAGATCCATACCCACAAAGTGTATATGCTCCCTTGATTTCTTGTCGAGCCGACGGTAGTGGTAGTTTGGTTTATAGATTAATGAGCCCCCGCGCAAACCAGAGCCCAAACAATTGAACTTGGCCTCTACGGCGTGTTGGCTCAAAATTAAATTTGAGGACAAGAAGAAACTACCACGTTTTTCAGTCTATATCTTCCACCGTAATAAGTCACACTTATATGCTTGTACGGACGGCGCGACGAAAGTGCATTGCTAACGCCGCCAATTGTGATATATGGACAAAACGGCGGCTTGGGCGAGTTGGCTCTCCATGTCTCAAAATAACAGTGCAAGTAGGGGGTTACATACAAAAACACGTCACCACCAGCCAGAAAAACAATCTCACTTAGTGAAACAATCACAGCAGACAAAGCAACTTCTGAGGACTAACTTGCGAGGACATAATGGAATACCGAACTGATTTGCGGAGCTTATTGGCACTAGATATGTGATGATTGCTCCATCTCACAGCAAGTAGGACGCAATGGGGCCTTTAGAGTCAAAAGTTGAAACAAACGAGAAAACAAAACTCTTTCAGCCAATTAATTGTACGCGTCACTGGAACGCCCTGACGACGTCCGAGCTACATAATCGCCGGAGGCGTAAACATATCGGTCTGTTTCTCAATTCAAGAGAATTTTACGTGGTCCCTCTAAACACTGAAACGACCGGGAACGACAGTCGGCTGCAGGAAAGATTAGCACACGTGATTCGTGGCCGGCGCGGTTAAACCGCCAGACGCAGCACTGTATTCCGCGATAATACACGGAGTGAGTGTGGCCGGGACGCCCCAACCTTTTAATCGCAGGTGTGCTCTTATCGTTTGTAGCAATTCTTTTTTCTCTTGCGGCCGGCCTTTTTTCTTGCGGAACGGGTCACGCGTGGAACGACGCTTTTTTTTTAATCTTGTTGCACTATGAGTCATCAGCTGTGCGTCTGTGTGCCGAGGTCCTCTGTACATCCAAGAGGGCACGAATCCGGTAATCGCGGCGCCAGCGTAATTACGCTACAGACGCGACCCGTTTCGCCTTATCGCGGGCCTGGGAATCGATTTCTTGTGTCAATTTTTTTTAACAGCCGACTGTACAAAGCATGGGTCTTGCAACCGGTCTTGAGTGGTGGAGTTTTAGCGAGTCGTTTTTGGAGCACACGGTCCCGAGATATTGAACGGTGCAGCTGGTCCGTCCTATTAAACCGTACGTGAAATTTAACGTATTTTAGCGAGTCGTAAAACTCGCTCAACCGTGTAAACGATGAAGATGATTGCGGTTGACCGGCAGCACCATCCTCTAGTAAACATGTGAAACATTCTGCAGCGTGCGAAACCATGGCAGTTCGTGTTTCCGGCGTACGACTGATGTAAACAAGACGGCCGGCGCGAAATTTACCGATCGAAATTTCAAAACCTGCGATGCTATAGTCCTTTCCAACAAACGCCTTCTGCGAGCTGCCATCTTTTCTCACTGGACTGTTAAACGCCTGCTGAGCACGCGCAATAGCGCCTCTTGCGAAAAAATCGTACGCCGCGCCTGCGTAACAGTTGTGGGATTTCCCCTTTGGGGGGGGTTACCACTTAGAAACACAAAGAGTTCCTTGGGTCCGGATAATGACGTGTTTACTGACTGCAATGTCAGCACGCTTCGCTCTTAGACAAGAAAAGTCTGGGCGCTGGCTCAATTGCCAGTATCACCCGGTCGGTTTCCCGCGCTGCCGCATTAGACAGATTCACGGGAAGTCGGAGGCCCACAAAGAAAAACCGAGCTCCGTCGAGCCAGGGCCTCCGCCGACGAGAGCCCCTGGCCCACCTTCGGGACCACCTTATGTAGCCTCGGAGAATGGACGCGCCCGGGGAGGCCACTAGCAGTCGCGTCCATCATAGCTCTCAAGGGTGTGCCGAAGGCGCGTTCACCCAAATGGGCAAGGGAGAGCCGGCCCCTTCGGGGAATTCGGCCTCGTGGTTCCTTGTATCCGGGAGGCCGACGCCATTGGTGACGACGACTCCCACGGCCTGCTTGAAGCTAGGCCTGGATAGGGATAGAGGGAACCCAATGGTTCCCACACAGTCCAGTGACTCGACATTTTTCGCCTGGGCGATAAGCGATGGAAAGGTCTATTGATAGAATAAAAAGTGTCGAAACGACCGCAAAGGAAGGTGGTGTGTCTCCGTCATTTTGACCTTTAACGATAATTTATGTTGCGTGCCGACGAACCAAATCGTTTTGTCAGCTCGCGGTCACCACGGCAGCTAGTCAGCCCGCAGATAGCAAAACATTACTAGCATGCGTAGTTTACAGCATTCGCGATCGCATACCATTGTCAGCCGCCCTCGAAAGACTTGGTTCAACGTCTCAAAAGAGAGAGAGAGAGAGAGAGAGCATGTTTATTATATATGATATAGGATTCCCGTCTATGAGTGGTGTGTTCTGAGACGAGGGTGTGGGGGTGGAGGGTTATAAGGAGGGGATGTGGATGACTATGGTGCTATGAAATGAATTGATGAGCCCCAGATTCCCTGATGAATTCAACCAGGGAGTCTAGGATCGCCTTTCGGTGCTGCTCCTGGCCTCTGGGGTGCGTCCAGTCGCTAAGCCTCCTTGGTTGGTCCTGAGCGGGTAATTTTTCCCACGGCGTTTTTCTGTGGTCTTTTAGGCCTTTGCGCTCCCACAGTAAGTGCTTGATACCTGCCACCTTATTTTCAGTGCAGGCCTTGCAGATAGGGTCTTCTTCCTCCAGTAGCCCAAAGGCTGCCGGTTTGACGGGCGTTAGTGCAGTGCCGGTTCAGATTCTGCGAAGTCTGGTCGCTTCCCATCTTCGGTATCCATTTGGTAGTGGGTATTCCTCTGTCAGTACGAGTCCCCTGAGGTAGGCTTTCATAGCTTGTCTTGCTAGTTAGTCCTTTTCCACAGGGTCTTCCGTTTCCTCGTTGTCCTCCCGAGTGGTTCAGACTGTCGCGGAGCCGTTGCTGCTGGCTGCCTCCGCTGCAGACTTGTACACGTTACTGAAAAAAAAGTAACTGATTACAATTACAATTACTACAGTCAAAAAAGTAACCGATTACCGTTACTGATTACTGCCTCCCAGAAGTAATTGAACAATTACTGCAAAGTAATTGATTACTTTTCAAGTTACTTTCACGTTACTTCTTATTGCGATGACAGAAATACACAAATACACAGTAAAATATTGCGTACACAATTTTGTTTGGTTATTGTTCCCTTTTTTGTTTTCAGACCCGGAGCTTGTCATGTAGCTGACGCGTCGACCTAAGGAACAAAGCCCACTAAAAAGTCAATAGCGAGTTCCCGCTTCCCGTCGACTTTATCAGCAATCTGCAACGAGATCCGGAACTCCCCAGCCAAGGCTGGTGGCGCGCTTGTAGAAGAGCGTGGCGTAAAAGAAAAAAGGATTTGCCGACTAATCCTAGTTTTATTTTTTTTAGATGTTAAAAAAATGTCAATCATTTTTGCTCCATGGCTGAGTGACTATGCTGATTTTTGTGAGAAAAAAGAATTGTGGGATGAAAAATGTAATTGGTAATTGTGTAATTGAGTTTGTAATTGATTACAGAAAAAAGTAATTGAATTACTCCGAGCGTTACAGCTTGACAAATGTAATTGAAGCGTTACAAAATTACACTTAACTGTAATTGATTACAAGTAATCAATTACTTGTAACGCGTTACGTACAAGTCTGCTCCGCTGTGACTCGGTGAGCCCACTCGTTCCCGGGATTCCCGGGAATCTGCGCATGGCCCGGAATCCACCCTAATGTCAGCACAATGCCCTTCGCTTTTAGCTCTCTGGCAATCGCTTTAATTCTCTTGGCCGTTCTGCTTTTGGGTTTGCTGTCTCGACACGCCCGGAGTGCTTCTTGTGAATCAGTAAAAATTCTCGCTCTCCTTGGTCCTTCCGTATTTTTCAGTATATCGATGGTCGCTTCAAGGATTGCCCTGAGTTCTGTCTCGCGCACAGAAGAGTTCTCAGGTAGTCTCGTGGTGCTTTCTCTCCCTGTCTTGGGGTCGATCCAAGCCGTGACCGTGGTTAAGTCAGTCGTAAATGCGTCCGTGTATCTGATTTCCCCTTCGTCCGCGTGTTCGTCGCACCATTTAGCGTGTCCTGTTGCCGCTTGCGCTCTGCGTCCTTGATTATGCACCCTGGGCAGGGGTCGATGATCAACGATGTTTGTGTCTTCCCACGGTGGTGCTGGGTCTTCCAATGGAAGTCTCCCCTCTGCCTCGTAGCCCATGATTTCAAGTAGCTTTCTGCCGTGCTTCGTTCTCTCAAGCCTTTGAAAATGCACTATGCTCTGCACTTCCGCCCGGTCTTGGATCTAGTTCATTCCTGCATTGTTCTATAGGTCTTCCAGGGCTGTATAATTGGGAAGTCCTGTAACAAGTCTCATGATGCGGTGATTTAGTCGTTCTAACCGCTTCCATTGCGTTTTGGTTAGGTTGAGCCAATTACAGCTATATAGCGCCTTGGCCGTTAGTAGCGCGTTTGTCAAAATCCTGATTGTGTCTTCATCGGCTCCCCAGGACTTGGATGTCGTCTTTAGCACGAGCTTTAGAGTCTGCCCCATGATTTTTCTAGAGCTGGTAGCCATTTCGTACTGCGGGCTGTTTCTTCGAACGTCACGCCGAGTATCTTTATTTGCTCTTCTCTCCTTATTTTCTGTCCTTGGATATGTAAGTCTACTTGGTCCGCGACGCCTTTTCGATGATCTCTCGGCCTGGCCACGACCATGAATTGAGTCTTTTCAGGCGAAGCTTGCATGCCGACATTCTGGAGATATTTGAGGACTTCATTTGTCCCTTGCTGCATGGTTTGTTCCTGGTTAGCTATTGCTCCTCCCTTTGTCCATAATGTTATGTCGT